GGGTTGCGTCATTCATGCGTAACGGCTTGAGAATTGCGTCATTTGTGTGAGACAGCTTGAGAATTACGTCATTCGTGTGAGACGGCTTTCGTTGCTTTTGCGGTGGATAGATGACGCCACGACTGCGGCGCGCGAAGGGTGCGGTTCATATCACGTCCGTGTCACTAATGAAGGAAGGAAAGCTTGTTCTGGGTACCTTCCGTTCCGAACGAATGCGAGTACTTTACCGATCACGCCAAAACGATCGTCTTCGCGTGATGTTGGTACTAGTTCATATAGATATCACACCGTCACACTACTTTTCCAGGATCTTGTCATTTTTTTAGCTATTAGAAATCTCAAGTTTACTAAACTGTTTAAAAAAGTATGTTCAATGCTATAGTAGCTCATTTTACTTTTATAATTAATGACATAAACCTTGGTGAAAACGAAAGAGCTAATGGGTTTATTATCTTCAGTGACTATAAAGGTGCTATCCAAGCAATTCATAAAGGCTGCTCAGGATTAATTTCTAATATGCACTATACACTTCGCCAGTTTTTCAGTTTGATAAAACAATGAATCATGTAATGTTTCCCAGCGCATCTTGACATTGATGAAAACGAGGAGGTTGATACGCTGAATAAGGAAACAAAACAACTTAACAGTAACGACAACGTTGCAACTCTCGTCATGCTAAGCGACATAAATTCAGCAGCTAAATCAAGACTTGACGACAGAAAAATCAAGCCGAAAAGCCAAATTCCTGAAATAATACAAGTAGAAGCCTGGCAGGCACTTTAGACATTTTTGGGTCATGCATATCAGAAGAACGGGACAGGAAAGAAAACTCTTTCTGCAAACACTGTCAAGACATGGAATTTATCCCAGGGCATCTTTTATCCTATCCTACCATTCGGGGAAAATTGCAGCACATGAAAAACCCCCAGTGAGAACTTATAGGAAGATAACAGCATCCGTTTTACCGATGGTGTCTATAGGACCTATTTAATCATAGTCAATGACAAGACACTAACCAACTGATTGAGAAATTTAATTCTTTTGGATCTTTTTATCAATCCCAAATCATATTTTATAAATTGTGTGTGTATGTCGAGGTGTGTGCATAAACATTTATTTTTAAAGTAAATTGAAAGGAAATCATCGATATCATTCATGTAAAAATCAACTTTTACTGGATTTCTTATTTATAATGTGATTATGTTTTAATTTTTTACAATTTCTATGAATAATAGTATGTTATTAGTGCACCCATTGTGTTCGTTTCTAGGAAAAATGGTAAGTTATATATGTCCTCTTACAATAAAACTATTTTGAATTATTAAAAAATTAACATTCATATAGAATAAATACTCTTTATTGTATGTTTTAGATACAGCAATTATAAATTTCCCGCAAAACCCAAAATAGTTGCAAAACAAAAAATTGTAACAGCAAATTCTCTTTTTGTTATCTTTTTTCAGTCAATTTCGTTTCACAAAAATTTCTCTTAAATTGTAATTTATATAAAGTCATTAGTTGCCTCGGCAGTCACATCTCCGCACGCCTCTAACCATTACAGAACGGCATGGAGGTGGACAGTTTGGATTGGGCGTGCCTCCGCTATTATCTGTAAAAGAAAAAAATACATATAAAGTAATATTCTTTTTAATGTGTTTAATAGTAAAAGAGAGCCTTTTTTTAAAAAAAAGAGGACACTTCGTTACTATATTGTCGCAAATTTCGCCAAATGCTGTCTTCGTTATTAGTGTTTTGGTACATGTACAGGAAAAGTTTTCCACATTTTCCTCTATTGGCTTTAGCGACAAACATTTTGTGCGAGTAAGATAAAAAAAAACAATTGATTTCAAAACTTTCTTAATTTGATTTTTATCTTGTTCTTTAGTTACAATTAATTTTCATTACCACTAAGGTTTTGAATGAAAAAAGTGGTACTTCCGGCGTTTTCTCAGGCTTTATTAGTGACAGCACACAAAAAATTTTACTTTTAGTTTCACACTCAATTATCAATCCTAAATTTACTGTCAGATTCTTGAAAACCTTGAAAAAATTTAATAATCAAGACAATTGGTTTGTGAAAATTTTATTTCACCTTTCTATTAAATCAGTGCTTCTCAAACTTTCAATGTTTGGACTCAATTTTTAAACATAATTTTTACCGCACCTTTTTCCGTACGATAACAATGTATTGAATGCAATAATAATGTACTATGTCGCTTAGACTACAATACGATTGAAATTATGAACAGTACAAAGTATGACGATAAGAATTAAATTTTGTATATAATTTTGTAGACGACATGCCTATGGAAAAGTTACTAGTAACTATCAAACTTGTTCTTATCTTGGAATTGAGAAATTAGTTATCACACACAAATTCCTTGTGCAGTACTTATACATTTATAGGTATACTATATCAGTCTAAATGCGTCAGAAGATATTTTTTCTTCTTTTCTGTAAATTAATAATTTTTTTAAATAATCTTTTATTTTCTACTTCACGATATTCTCGCAGCCCTCACTTAGGGTTAAAAACCCATAGGGGGCACGCCTTAAAGTTTTAGAAACGCTGTATTAATTCTTGGAATTGTTTACAAAGAATTAGTTATCTTATATCAATAGGGAAATAATTATTCAGTTATGTAACATAAATGCAGACAATTTATCCGTAGTTCTATGTATTCGTTACTTATAATTTATATTTAACCCCCTAACAATCTTTTACATATATCTATCTAACTCAACAATATTCAATTGGCTTACTTATATAGAATATTTCAATAGTTTCTTAAAGGTAAGTATTAAGCCCAAATCGGAACCGGAAATTTAAATCCAATACCGGAAGTGTGAATTTTTGATTCTGGTTTTCATCCACAAAATACGATTTTTATTCTTTTAAAATATTTTAATGAATTATTTTCATGTTTAATAAGCTTTATTTCCCTATATAAATATTTTAATAGATATATTTTGTTTTCAAATAGGCAACAGATAACTGATTGAAATGTTTGTTTTGATTTAAACGAGTTTAAACGTATGGAGTATAATCCCGAAAGAGATCTTTGTTAAGCTAGAAAACCCTTCGCTTAGGGATTTATACTGCAATAAAATTTTTTAATTCTGGGTTTACCGGTCTATCACTTCTACTTCAAAAGTAGGAATGGAATTAAGGCATGGAATGAAGGGATATTTTTTGGTACCTCGACAATACGAGAATCGTTGGTACAGTGAGACATTATAAGCTAGATAAGAAACTATAGCCTAAAAAAAAAAAAAGGCCCTTCAAAAATGTAAGAGTTTGAAGTATGAGTTTCAGGAAGGCACTACGTATAGACCTGGAGAGTTTTAATACCTTCCTAAATCTTTAAAAAGTTTTATTGAGAATATAAAATTTATTTTGCATATTTTCTGAAGATCGTTACTTTTGTACATAATGGTTCACAGTAATAGTGATATCTGTTAATATAGTCTTTCTCTTAGTGATAGTAATTGAACTGTTCTTACGAAATATTTTGATTTTGTTCTTTGTATTATTATAAATGCTTTGTGCTAAAAGCTAAGGGTAATTTTTCATTTAAATTATTTTTTAATGTTATTTTATATGAAAAAAAGTTATTTTTTTTAAAAAAAAATTCTAGGTTCATTTTGTTTTGAACACTTATATTTCATAATTCTATTTGAAAACTTGAGTGTTTTTTTATTACAAAGCATAGTTAAACATTACAGAGAAATGTATTCCTGCAAAAATTTTATTTGTGTTTGTAATACATATTTTTTTAGAGTTGTTAGCAAAATAGCTATTTTTTGTAATATTTTGGTTCGTATTTCTCAGTATTTTGAAAAATAATTTTTTCCAAATATTCTTTTTCAGTTTTTTCTTGAAAATTTTGCAACATACGTACTTAAAACATAAAATTAAATAATATTTTAAGTCATATTTTAGAAAATTGTCCTCAGTCGAATACCTTAAAATTAACATAATTGGAGTCCGTTCAAGGTTGGAAAGGGAAAATGGTACGCGTCCTAAAGGAACCCTCACAAAAAGACTTGCAGCACTATTTGGAACAATGGTAGATTCGCATGGAGCATTATAGGGATTGAGTAGAGGTGTATATTGATGGTGACAATAAGTAAATATATGTGAAAAAAGTTTTATTGCATCAGTCTCGTTATTTCATAGCAACAATTTGTTTCATTCCTTGAATCAGTTTTTTGATCAGACGTTTTTAATGATCCTTTTGCATACGTTAGCCACCACTAGTAATTGTGTGGGATGTACACTAATAAAAAAACAAGATTAAAAATGAAAAAAATGTTCAAAATGAGTTTACCTCCGCACTCGCATTTTGGACACGGTTTATTATCATTGTTCATGTGACAGGGTGGTAAACAGGGAACTGGGTCACATGGCTCAGAATCCGGACTTGAAGTGCTGGTCGGGATGACAGTTGTTTCTGGGAGAGAAAAATTAGAATTATTGAAATTATTTCATATCAGAATAATTTAAAACTACAAATCACAAGTGGTTTATTATTTTTTAAGTTATCAAAAAGGAATAATCTTTCTTGTTTTGGATTTAAGTAACCCTTAGGTTCGAAGTTCCTTCAAATGAGAAAAATATTTAGAAAGAGAACAGCACTTTTCCTCATTACTATCGTAATAAGGAAAGAATAGTTGTTAATTTAAAAGCTAAAAATGATTCTCACAACATGGAATATACTCTGAATATTTTAAATTTGAATGTGTTTCTGTCTTGTCTCCGATTTTCAGTAAAATTAAGTTATGAAATCATTCAAATATCTTTCGATACTAATGGTATTGAAATGTTTTTTTAAATGCCTTTTCGCTCCGAAGATCTTCATTATTATCTCTATTAGGTATAACCAAAGGGAATTACACAACAACCATCACATTTAAATAAAATATTGGCAGATTCTTAATACGATTCAAAATACATTCTCTGCCATAAAATAATACTCTACTGAAACCGCATGTGTGTAAGCTGAAAACACCGGTTTTCGTCCGTTCACCGAAGTTATGCCTCATCCAGCGCAGTCAGTGCTTGGAAGGGTGACCACTTGGGAACATCACGATTCGCTTGTATGGAAATAATCAGAATTACGTGAAAATTCGTGCTCGCACTGGCAGCTGTACTTATAAGCCGAGCAACATTTGACTGTACATTTATACTACCAATTAAAAAAAAATGGATGAACAACTAGCTACTTATCTCCCTATGGATTTGTACTGCATCAAATAAATGATACGTGGAAAGATTTTAAAGTCCTCTCATAATTTGATGAAATTTCGATGGTATCTTATCAATAATTGACAATATTTGATAAGACACCATATTGACAATATTGAGTCAAGATATGTCCAGTTGAAAAATGAAGAAAATGTACTCTTTGGATGATTCATTGCTCTAGTGTGTGGGGGCATGCTTCAGCAACCTCCTATTAAGGGAAATAAAGTATTTGGAGAGCTAAAATGTAATATTTAAAGCAGATAATTGGTGAATAAAAACTATTCACTATGATTAATACTCTTGTAGTAGAACGAATGTGAATACAGATTAAAACAAGAATAGGTAACAGGTAAATATGGTGTTAATTTAAAACAGTTTATCTCAAATAAATTTCAAAAAAAAACTTTAAAATAAAAAATATAACTTTTTTAAAAAAAAAATTACAGGCTTTAACTATTAGTTTGAATTGGACGAAAAAGTACGAAATAAAATAATTATGTCTTCTTCGCCACAGCACTATAAAAACTGTTTTTGGTCTTAATTGTTTAATATTCGCGTTAATTCTAAAGCAGCCTGAATAAAATATAAATCAAAAATTTGACAAGAAGAAATATGTAGTATAAAGCTTTGTACGAATAGTTTTTACTTTACCGACTTTTATTGACTATGCTAATTTTATTTTACATTGGAAAACATGACTGTTTTACTAAGCTACATTTCTAATAAAAACTTGGTAAATGTAGTCATGTTATATCAAATATATATATACAATTATTGTATTAAAGAATACATAAAACAATTAAGGTGTATGTATGCTAAAAGAAAAAAAAATCATGGATTATATGTAAGAAATTAAATAAAAAAAGATATTCAATTGAAATAATGTATGTGTATAAGTGCATATGTTTGCATTCATTTCAACATAATAACGAAAATTAAATTTGTAAAATAACAATTTTAATATTAAAAAAAACATTAAAATATATCGTTAATATTCTAATTACACTGCTGGCTACCGTAAATGCAACACCAAAAAAGACAAGAGATAGCACAACAAAATTTATTTTGTAGATAACACGTTGACCAAGTATTATACGATTAAATTTATAGACTTCTGTGAAGTGTGGTTCCTGCCAGAATCAGTAGCCAGAGTAGCCGTCATTGTTGGAAATCACCGCTACCACACGCCTCGGCATTGATTCAAAAATACTTTTGATGTTTTCTTGGGGTACAGCAGACCAAGCAGCTTCCACACGTTGCCAAAGTTGATCTGTTGTGGCAGCTGAGGGTGTAATCTGGGTAAATCGTTGAGCAACCATGGTACACATGTTTTCTATCGGCGAAAGGTCGGAAGAGCGAGTCGGCCAGGGGAGCAATTCAATCTGTTGATTGACGAAGAACATTTGGACAATGCAGCATTATCCGCATTGGTCACGCATTATCCTGTTGAAATATGGCTGTGGCCATGCCCTGAAGGTAAGGAAGGACAACTGGCTCCAACATCTCGGAGATGTAGCGCTGGCTTTTTAAAGTACCGGCAATGCGTACAAGAGGAGTGCGAGAGAGATATCAATACCGCCCCATACCATGATACCCGGTGCAGGAGCAGTGTGGCGTTGTATAACGAAGATGTTCAGCATCCTCTCTCACGGTATCTCCAGACTCGAATCCGACCATTGTGATGTTGCAGACAGATGCGTGACTCGTCAGTAAAGACAACTTCATTCCATTCTGCCATCCACATCCTTCTTTCAACCCACCATTTGCGGCGGAGACGTCTGTGGTTCTGCGTCAAGGGTAGACCAAGCAATGGACGTATTGCGGACAGACCACTCTGCTGTAAATGGCGTCGAACGGTACGCGCAGATACTGAATGATGCGTTACAGGCTCAATGTGCTGTGCTACGGTTCGGGATGTGACTGAGTAATCCGTTACTGCAATATGCGCACAATTTGCCTGTCCTCACGTGAAGTGGTGCACTGAGGTGGATGCAATCGACCACGTCGGTCCGTCGTACCTCCTGTATTGAACGGTCACATATCCGCATTATAGTTGTTTGCTTTCGTCCAACAAGACTACCGATTTCCCTGAAAGGTAATCCACAATCTCTGTAGGCCACTATCCATCCTCTGTCGAACTCGGATACTTAATCAAAAGCTGATCGCTGTTTTCTACGAGACATAACTGATCGTTTTTTGAAAACCACAAGAAAAACACAATTGCTGAACTTAAATCGTCAAAATCTCCAAGCCTTAAATAGCGCTTTGAGGTGGCCCCACAGGCGCGCGTGAATGCGCTGAAATTCTAAACATTTGCAAATCTCACCTCCGCTAATGCATGTTGTAAATTTCATTTTATTTGCATGCTTCCTTCAGAGGTGTTGCATTTACGGGGGCCACCAGTGTAAAAATAAAAAATATGCTGCTACTTAAAAATAAACTTTAAATATAAATTCTTACTGTATTTAATAAATTTTTGCGGGTGTATTTATATGTGCAAATGTGTGTGCGAGAGTGCTTGTGTTGGGAATATGCATGATTATGGAGGGGGTAGATTGGGAATGTGGCTGAGTGTGCGTGTGTGAATTTTTCATTTTGCATGCATAGATTTTTTTCTTGCTCTTTAATAGTTCTCGTCTCACTTCTATTTATACATTTTTTGAAGAAAGGCAAAAACTGCTCGGTGTTTTCAAATACATCATGCTGTGGACAAGTATCACATTTCATCATTTTATTCACACAGAAAAAGAGGATTCTTATTGAAAAAAACATGTAAGAGTACATTTTTCCTAAGTAAGTTCCTATGTTTAATCCTTAAGCATGCTTTATTGTGCTAAGTTCATATATTGCTATATTTTCGATAAAAATGCTATCAAACATATAAAAACTTTTTAATATTTCGCAAGATCCCTTTTCAGAATACATTGAATTAATGCAATATTTATTCCTGGAATGGTACTTAAATGTTTTAATAACGTAATTTCAGCCTATATTAAATACTCGCTTATTTTGCAAAAATATATCTTTAGTATTTATTTTACTAGCATATGCAGGCTACAAAAATTCCTTTTCTAGATAAGCTCGGAAAAATTCTTGAAAGGATTTATTTTTAATATTAATGCTCCTAATAATCTCTCTCTCTATAGTTCACATTGTTATAGGAGTTGTCCAATCCACACAATTTGCAAGAGCTATTTAATATATGATAGCTACCTTAACTGAAAGTATAACTGACATTTTTGAAGAAAATTGGTTTGAAATAAACTGTAATCTCTATATATACATCTGATTAATACATTAATTGTAATCGACATATAACAGTGTTATATTCTCAAGAAATATATTCTAAACAAAGTGCAGATAATAAGTAACAACGACAGCTTTTTCATACAAGAAACAAAAATATTACAAATAACTTATAATATTGAGACATAAAAGTAGAGATAAACATAGTGGAATGCTGCAGTATGATTGTATATATTAACTTTTTTTTGTAATAACCAAATGCCTCGTAGTCTTCAACTATATTATTAAAATATTGTTTTATATGAATGTAAACACTTTTTGCTTAGTAACAAATTCAAATGATGCCCGTTTTATGGTTACAAGATATAAAAACGTGTTTATTTAGCAGTTTTAGTTTTATTTTATTCACTATACCTTTGCTTTATTAAAAAAAGATTAAGATAATTTTAATGTCAAATAACAAAATTGATAAAAGTAGAGATTTTATTTTTTAAAAAAACTTATTTGATCAACTTAGTCTTACCTTCAATTTCATTTGGTATTGGATAAAAAATGTTATAGAGATACTCAATTTCAGGCATATTTTGAGTCTCTTATAATTTACAGTGAAAATTTTTATATTTTCAGTCATCAAATAAAATGGTTTTACTTAGGAACATACTTAGGAATGGTATATTTTTACATATATGTATTATGTAAGCTGAATAAACAATAGAAAAATAACAAAACATTTGAAATTTGGAGAGAATGAAATTTATGTGAGGCAAATATAAAATTCCCTGTAAAAATAGCACTGAATAATTTTACTGTGGTTCAACATCGCCCTTGAACTCAACGTATTATATACGTAGCACAGACTCAGATGACAGATTTTTTTATTCATAGTGAATGTTGAGACTGTACGTTTGGAACTATGATTTTGAAAAAGGGTATAAATGGATATTTTTTTGATATTTATAGCGCCAGTTGAATTAGAATATACGGATAAAATTGTATTAAGAATATTAATACAAGAAAAAAAAAGATTTAAATGCAATTTTTTTGCGAAAATAGAAGAAAGAAGGATATACTTTAAAAACGTTCTTCTATTACAGAAAATGCTTCTCTAATAATAATATTTTGCCCAGACATAGCCGGGACTTCTATACTAAGACTAAGATTTTTAAACTATATATTTTAGAAGCGGATTTGTTCATATTTTATTACGTCAAAGTAGAGAAATTTTAACATAAAACACCGGATATTATTTCAGTTGATCGTAACTCTGAAAATAATGTGAAATTTTTAAAAAAATCCTCGTTCAGGTTCTGTTGAGAACTCTTAGATATATACGCTAAATTTTATTATTACAGCAGAACTTTTTATAAAGGGAGAATGTTTGAAAAATATGCAATTTTTCTTTCACAGATTTTTTCAAAAACTGCATTTAAATCATTTTTATTGCAAATTTGCTCTTAAAACAATTTTACATATATATTGTAATTCAGGTGACACTAAATATCATAATTTTTTTTCATTAATTCGCTCTTTCGAAATCATGGTTTCGAAACATAGTCGGATACCTTAAAAAACAACAAAAAGATCAGCACAAGACGGTTTATCT